TTTATTGCCAATTCACAATTCGGTTTTTACAAAAAAGTTTTCAAATTTGTGTTTACGAAACTTATTACTAGTAAGTAATTTGCTATACTTACTTTCTGAAAGTGATTTTTGCCAAATTTTTTATTTGAATTTTGCCTATCAAAAATTTATCATAAAATTATTGTCAATCTAGGAAAGATGCAAAATTTTGTGGTGATTAGAGATTATTTGTTTGAAAATGAAAAAGTTGAACATAACTTCAGATTCTTAGAATTATCAAAGGACTGTCAAAAGTATATAAGTTTTGTGAAGTGAGTGATCACAGTTGTATGTATTGCTTTCTTTGAATTGCATAAAATTTCTATTGAACTTTTTAGGTAATTTATTGATGCATAAAAAATAACTTTTGTGATTTCATCCCATAAAACATATTTATATACATATGTTAGTTTAGTCATTAAACTTTTAAAGTTTTTTTCAACAAAAGCGTAAATTTTAAAATGAGTACTGAACAAATTCTGGGAAAAAATTTAACGTAAACACTGCGTAGACAAAAACTTTTGTTTCAAAAAATTCTTTACTGAAAATTGAGGAACTGTCTTATTTTGAACTGCACTGCTTCAAATCTAATTAACATTCCATGTGGATTTTCTATAAATTTTGTTAATAAAAGTCATAATCCATCAAAATTATTTTGAAGGTAATTATCTCTACGCCACTTTCACTGTAGTATTATTTAACTATTTATAATCCATATATATTTGTAAATAATTTTTTACAAGAACCGAATGAAAATAATTTGAAAATGGATGAAAATTATTTTAAATCTAGTGAATTTGCCACACTAGCAAAGGTTTATCTTCTATTTTTGTACAAATATTTATTTATCTGCTTGATTTTATCTCACAGCAATGCTTTTAACTCCAGTGAATCCAAATCTTACAGAAAATATATTTCAATTAGTAGAAAAGGGTTTTTTAATTTTAAAATTTGTATTTTTTGAATAAAATTCTCGCAGATTCCATGAAAACTTAACTAATCATTTCATGCACCTTTGATTCGACAATTAGCAGTACACATTTCACTAGCTCTTTAAAACGGCGTTTATATTTTATCTCTTTTGCTTTTTAAAAGTCGAAAAAACTAAAATCAAATTTCAATTAATTTTGAGACTTCAGACATTTATAAAGTGACCGAATGCAAGTGTGAAACATGCAGTATCAGTGAATTTGCTAGGAAGTGCAGAAGCTTATATCTGCAAATTACAGTGAATATAAAGGAGTAAATTGCAGATTAAATTTTTGATCTATTTGAAAAACTAAAATGATTGCGAAGGAGTTTGCCTTCGACGTTTATCATCAAATTTATAATTCGGTTTATGAAAAAAGTTTTCAAATTTGTGTCTGTGAAAGTCAATACTTTTGATATCACTTTTTCATCAAATTTGAATGTATTTCAGCACAAAGCTTCATAAAATAAAATAAAATGCTTTGAAAAATTATGACTTAGAAAAAACACAAATTTCGGTTTAAAAATAAAAATATTTCAGATATCGAATGCTGCATTAGCTAGCAATCATCTGAACTTAGTCTGAAGCAAGCTGAAACTTATAAAAATGGACTAAAACAAAGTCTCGAAAAAAAACAAAAAAGTTTTATTTTATTAGCATGTTCAAAGCGGTGTTTACATCGTAAAATTATCAATTTTTTATGAGAAATATGCGCAAAGGGCGGGCGCAAAGTGTTGAAGTCGAATGAAAAGCATTTTAAGTGAATTTCTGGGATTTCTGACATGCATTATTTGAAGACTATTTTACAGCAAGTCGAGATCGAATTTCATTAGTCATCTAGCAATTGTTTAAGAGCCATTCTTGTGGGAATTATGGAAGGAGCAGGTTGGACGCCAGTTTTGTTCAGAATTATCATTGCTGTCACTATTAGCACCACTGCTAAGATCAACGCATCCAACGAGTTTGATATCTTAAGTAAGTATTTTGTTTTACTCAGTTTTACAGAAAAATCAATACTCGAGTCATTGTAAGACAAAAGTTAAGTCAGTGTGAAAGAAACTGAAAGTCAAGAATTTATTACATTATTCATTATTAATTAACTAGCAATAATTCTGATGCACAATAATTAGTTATTTCTGTTACAAAATTTCTACAAAATACATTTACACAAATAAATCAAAAACAGTCATTTGTTATTTTGAAATTTTTAATACATAATTTTTGCTAAATTTTTTATGATTCGGAAACATCATGTGCTTGTTATAAAGGCTGAAGAAAGCGAATTTAATTAACTTGAATGATACTAGACTAGTAACTAGTTATTGGAATGGAATCTAATTTAATAAAACTTTATATGCGAAATGTACTATACTTCAAGTTTAAAAGTTTGATAATCTAAGTGAAATGCAAATTTTCAAAGGTGAAAGGTTTCCAGCTAATTTAAAAATGAAATATTGAAATGGCAACTAAATTGATTTGATTTTTAGAAGAGAGTAAAATAGTACACATGTAGAGTAATGAAACGGAGTTCGAGAAGAAGATATTTGAAATTTAAAAGTTAGATTAAAAAGGCATGGCGGCATAAATTGGGAAATGAACTAAAATTATGGAACTAGGAACTAAGAAACTAAAGGTTTGAAACAAAATATTTGAATCGCTCTCGGGTTTCTGCACTATTATTGAAAGTAAACTAAAATTTGATCAGTTAGCAATAAGTGGTACCAATAAGGCCATAAATTAATTAAAACTGAGGTGTTCATTTTGTAACTTTAATTTTCGCTCTAAAAATTACAACAATTTCTGAGGTCACAAATTTTTTTAACGTGTAATTCATCAAAACAGCTGCAAAAGGCTATTAATTAATAACTAAATGAAAGCTTTTCATTTTATTTCTACAAAACTGAATTTGAATTGATAAGAAATGACCTTAATAATTTTAATAATTTATATGCTTAAATTTTACGCAATTATTTTTGCGTCGAAGATTTATTGTATTTTATGCAATTTAAGCGGTGTGTAAGATATTCGATATAAATAAATTATGAAAAAAATTGCACAATTTTAGCTCTACCCAAGCTTTTTTCTGCATTTTTTAGACTTTACTGAATGAACATTTTGTTTCTTAAAAAATATTCTGAAAATAGCAAATGAAAAATAAAAAGGACCGATAGGGAATCATTCTGGCAGATTTAGACAATCTAAAATTGGCATTTCAGCAGTGTTACGTTTCTACTTCCAGCTGCTAATTCAGTTTTCATTTTCCGATTCACAATTAGTGACGCTCTAAACATTCTAGATATATTTTCTAATGCCCAACGCAAGTGTAAAACAATCACTTCAGAGCTCTGTCAAAAAATAAATTCAGTATAATTATTGTTTTGGGTAGAAATATTATTGATATGCACACTATATAAATTTAGTGCGAGTTAATGATTGATATAGAAAAAATAAATTTTAGAATGTAATAAATACTTTCAGCACTAATTTATTTAATTTAAAACTATAAGATAATACAAAAATGCTGTAATAGTTTTGTAATTGCAAATATTTTTCATTTGTGAAACTTTAAATACGAACAAAAACTAAAATAAGGGGAACAATTTATTAAAACATTTGGATTTAACTCTAAATGCTTGCATTAGTTTTCATCCTATATTTTTTTAAGAACTTTTTAAGTACTATCATAAGTAATGATCTTAAATTTTAAATTTTTTACTCATAAAAACTTTTTGAATGTAATAAATCTATTTGTGAAAGTAATCTGTATTTAGCTTGAAAAGTTTTTTCAAGATTTATCACTTTTAGGATTTTTTTTAGATTACAGGAGTATTCATAGGTACGCTTTGGCAACAATACTCCACAATACATGGATGATTATTTCAAATTATTCAGCTTTTACTTAATGTTGTATATTGTTATGTAAAGTAAGAGGATCCATGTTAAGATTGATAAATTGAATTTAATTGCATTCAACAATTTCATTTCCAAATTTATTCTTAAGTAAAAGTAACAAAGTTAAGAAGGAAGAAAATAACTAAATAAATCTATTTATTGCATGCATAGAAGCAAATAGATTCTAAGTTAGCTTAATTTAATTTCTTTTCAATAAAAATAAATTGAATTTCGCAATTGAATTGAAGCAAATATTTTTATTAATTCATTAATATTAATTACAAGTACCTATACATAAAGCAAGAGATAATAAAAGTAATGCATTAAAGATATCACCAACTTATCTTCAACTATATCTTTCCAATTCACTTTCTTTTAGAATAACATGTTACTACTTCTGAATCTTGAAAGGAAAGAATTTGAAACAGAAAGAAGGATCAAATTCTGATCTACTGAAGCTCAAAACCATGAATGTGATAAACTCTTAGTTATTGCAAATAACACGCGCAGACTGTGAGATAGCTAAATTGTCTTTATGTTTGAGTGAAACAAAATTATTTTCTGAAAATTTATTACGCGCATTGGAAGTTTCATACAATTTGATAGATCTTAGCAACGTTTTCAGTACTTCTGAGTATTAGCAGCTTAACTTCTCTGAATTTCGTTTCTCAGTGAAAGTCAACCAAAAGCTAATAAATTATTCAATTTTCATCCTACGTTTTTAAAGGACTTTTTAAGTACTATCATAAGTAATGATTTCAAATTTACAATTTATTACTCATAAAAACTTTTTGAATGAAATAAATCTTTTGTGGAAGTAATCTGTATTTGGCTGAAAAGTTACTGTAATTCCAAGTATTACTTTAAAATCTGGTTTCGTTAACTTATTGGAGCAGTAAATTAGATACCTCGCATAGTGATAGAAAAAATTCAGTGTAACTTACCTTTGTCTTTTTGGTTCTTTGATATGCAATTTTTCAATATTAACTATTTTGCAAAAATTCTGTGATTCTTTACTTATTCTCGAAAATGTTTGACATCAAAGATGTTCCTAAATTTGCTTCTTAATACAATATATTAATTATGTTTCAGATTCCTACAGGTCAATGAATGAGGATAGAGATGCTTCTGAAATACTACCAAATCACGGTTTGTTTTTTTACACTCAAAATTTCGTAGAGGATAAAAAATCTTATGGAAAGTCTCTAAATAAAATAAAAATAAAAAACAAAAGTTTTATAAAATTAGCCAGAAATGATTGATATTTAATAGTGAATTTGGCTTGTGGACTTTCAAATTACGACTTTTGAATTAATGAAAACTGACTAAATTTGCAAAAATAATTTCTCGGTCTAAATTCAATTAAGATTGACTAAAATCCTCGTTACAACTTTTTTGAAATAGATTACCGACGTTAAATTTTATCTGAAAATTTGAATATTGAATAATTTCAGTTTGCTTTGGGATTTCTAATTTGTAGTTACTTGACATTTTACTTAAAATTTCAAACTTTTATGGCAGTTCCAAAATTAGCTTTTCAAATCACTGGTAAAAAACGTTGATATTTTATTCATATTTTATAAATTCAAAAAAGTTATTAATATTCATAAAAAATGCTTCACTTAAAATACATTGCATTTAAAAATAGAAAATAAATTGAAATGAAAAATGTGTTAAATACAAAAACACTGCAACAAATTATTTACTCACTCATATTTTTGTGAATCGTAAAGAAACTATTAATTTTTTGAGCGCTTCTAAGCTCTGAGAAGATTTAAATATTTAATTAGTTAGCGCTTCTTTAGCTTTTTTTGTTTGACGTTTTGTTTTCTCTAATTACTTGACTTAATTTGAAGGACTTATAGTAGAATAAGTGAGACAAAAAGTGAACCTTTCATATTAATATTTAATAGTTTTGCATCATCAAGTCAGAGAGAAGCTGCTTCAAACACTATATCTTAAAACAACAAGAAAATAAAGAATGATAATAATAATAATAATAATAATAAAATAGTAAATAATAAACAAAATTTTTAGTAATGAAATAAAATTTTAGTAATGAATAAAATCGGACGTCGTTAAATTTCGTCGATTGTGCACAAACAATATAATGGTGTTATTAATTTTGAGTTATACTGCAATAATTGAATGAATTAATTTTAACCAAAGTTAAATTCTTTGTGCTCAAAATGCATTTAAATTGTTCCAAATAACTTCGAGTTTTAAATCATACTAATTTTCAATGTTTTATTATGAAAAAATAATTTTTCAGATTTCAATCGTATTTCTGGTTTAAATTATCTCTCGAGACATGATTATGGTATTTACTATCCTGGTTACGCAAGTGATGGTCCAGGAGTATTACGATTTGGTAAAAGAGGCCAAGAGAAAAAAAATGTACCTGGTTCGTTAGCACTGTGAATTAATTAATTAATTAATCAATTAATTATTTAGATGCGGTACATTTAAAAGAGTGACAATAAGGAAATCAAACTTTTTTCAGATGGCTCAAGATTTGGCAATTGATTAATTAGCTCTCTATGCAAACATAATCTTTCTAAAAAAGTATATTGGATTATCAAACAAATAACTAAATAGCCTTTTAAGGAGTGCTGAGATTTGGCAAAAGGGACGATGATATACCAGGAGTGCTACGATTTGGCAAACGACCAGTACCTGGCGTATTACGATTTGGTTAACGTGAAAGAATAAAGTAATACATCTCGAAGATATGACTTATTTATATTACTGAAGCTGTCACCAAAGTTCGTAAAATGAGTTTATAATACTTTGCTTGTTAATATCATCACAAAAATAAATGCATGCAACGTGATTTACTGCAACACCGATAAATAATTATTACTTTTTCATGATAGAATTTGCATAAAGCCGAAGAGTTAACTTATTGCATAATTGAGTGACGTCATGAGTTAATTCAAAATGGTGTACTTTTTTAAATAAAGCTTGTAGAAGTCTGCTTTTCTTGTGAGTTATTTTGTTAAATCTAATTTAAATTCATAAAAAATCACTTAATGCAAGCATTCTCTCACACACACGTTATGCTGTTCAAAAATTTAATTTTTCAAGAAACACATCTACACAATTGCAAAAATTCACACTTGAATAATATGATTTTACACTTTAATCCAGTCGAACTTTTTATCAACAATAAATCTCAGCACATAAAAATTCAAATACGATTATTAAGTACAGTAAATCTATTACAGTTAATTTTGAATTACAAAACAATTTGTTTAGTCGATTCTTCGATAAATGATAAGATATGATGTTACAGAAGCATGCTTTCAATCACTAAGAAAGACTACAAATTAAATGCAAAGCTCTTTCCTTCTATTTAATTTGATGTGATTGCTTTTCAAACTTTAGGCTTCATGCCTCCATGAGCCTCTCGAATGTAAGCAGAATATTCACGTGTTATTCCACTTCAACAGCAATAATTTGCAATCATATTGAAATTCTAAAAATTAAAATAAATGAAATTTTATATTACTGATAGATGATTGCGTTCAAAACTCTCTTATTGTACCATATCAGTTGAAAGAGGTTGGAAGAAGTTTATTGAAGCAATTTTGGCTCTAATATTGCAGTAGCGATAAAAGCATGCTACTGAATCAACCACATGTAGAAGCTTACTCAAAGTTTATTTACATTAGAAGCAATCTCAGACAGGCTCAGACGGTTAGTTTAATTTTTATTAATCTTTTTTGCAGTCTGAGTTAATCGAGAAAAGAATTCGAAATGTAATTAGTTTAGCCCATATTTGTAAGGTTTATCTGTCAAGGATATTCTTGACTGCTACTTACTTTTGTGTAATTATTCCATCTCCCATTCCCATTTTCAACTTTCTTCCTCAACCGTAGCATTTGTATGATCGGTGACATCAAAGGTAGCAAGAAGTTCAAGGTGCGACTTCAGCTATTCTTCTACAATGACCTTTCTATTTGTACTCAATTAACGGTAATTTACCTGATGGACTTTTTACATATAATCGACCACTTAAGCAGAGCTTTATTGTTATTCAATGCACATATAGTACTGATCAACTTTGATCTAACCGAATTACCTTAAAATGCCCAGCATGACTGCGAACATCTTGTGAATGAGTCAAAACAGTCCAGGTTACAGTCATTTATCCGTCAACTTTTTGAATACACAATCATTTATCCCTGCTACTTGCTTAGATCATACACACTTAGCAGCCACTTTCCTGCAAACACAAGAAGTAGTACTATTTGTAGCGAGTTATTTTAGTCAGAGATATCTTTGTGATTAATAATTGAGCAATTTAAAAGATTAACACTTTTAGCAGTCCCTTTTTTTGAAAAACATTAATTATACTTGCAGAAAAACCAATACCCATTAAGTAGAAATAAGTAAGGTGCGTCCTTTTGTTTTTTGAAACTATCAGATAAAAAAAGGCAATCAGATCAGATCCAGGTCATTCATTTAATATCCATAACTCTCATATCTTCAACAACAACTTTGTAGGGGGTATAAGTTATCATAAGTAATACTAGTTGTTTGTTTGAAAAGAATTAACATAAATGTTGTGTGAAGATCAATGCTTGATAAATAGATAAGACCATGCAAAAATTTGGTACATTTGAAATTACAGCTCATCTTAAAATCACAATTTTTATCACAATTTCAACAATCAAAATCCACCTCACTTATATATTTAATTCTTATTTTGAAATTCACTTATAATACATATTACAGTAATCAATTTTGAATAATAGTAAATAAAAATGCTACTAAACATCAATCCTTGAAGTTGGTTTTTTGATTATTCACAAGTTGACTTAAAAAACATTGAAACATGATTCACCGCAGATCAAAAGTGATCAATCGATCAAACTTGATAAATTAAAATCTTTGAATTTTATTTGATGAAGATTTTTATTTATTATACAACTGATTATTGTTTCACCGTTGGCATGATGGCTGAGTGAAAGAGATACGAAATGTTAGGTCGCGCAGTGCTCTGTTGGGGGCAACCGCAAGATTTATCTACTTATTATATGAATAAATGGTTGTTTCATTTTTATTACAAAATATTTTAAATTATTGTAACACTCACCGACTACTTTCCTTGCGACAACTATTTGAATTGAATAAATTTTGAATTGGGAAGTGGTTCAACACAAGCATAAATTATGCCACTAATATTCAAATACTCAATTTAATACTCAACAACTCAAAAATTCGAGAAAAATTTTCATCATTAGTCTATATGCCAAAGTATGATCAAAAGTTTCTTTGCTTTACTGCATGTGCAAAATTTAACTGCTTGTGACCACAAACATATTTTGTTACTTACTATGAATACAAGCAAACAAAATTGATATGAATGTGAATGAAAAAATAAAAATTAAAAAATTTAAGCACAGCAATTAGGAAATAGCAAAATCGCATTCAGAAAGATTCACAAGAACTTAGTACTTCTTGCAAGTAAAATTTAAATTATTATTTAGTTATTACTTTTTGCGGAATTTTTAAGTTATTAGTATTAAAGATGAGAGTTGCTGTTTTTATCTGTAAAAAACAGTTGAACGCTTCATTTTTATGTTGAATTTGGTTACTTATGCGTAAGTATTAGTTGTAATAACATTATGAAAAAACATAAAAATATAGCAATGTTATGGCCAATTTTAATCAGTTTTAGACGATAGAATGGAAGATTTGAGTAACCTCAGTTAAAGTTTTATTCATTATTTACATAATGCTTCAATAATAAGAAGATTGTCTTTTCGCAAATATCAATTTACAGATATTAGGTAAAAGTAAGTCCTTATTACTTTAACCAGTGTTATGGTATTTGCGGTTGAAGTGTACAAATCTGCTGGATTTCAGCACTAACTGACAGATTTGTTAACTCAAGAACGAATAACTCTACGGGATTAAGCTAACATGAGTCAGACTTTCCTCCATTCATTTATTCTCATGTAACTTCTACCGTAATATCAAATCTTGACACTAAATCTCTGGTAAATTGATACCGTCTAAGATATTTGACCACAAATACTTCATTCAGTTACAAAATTCAATTTGCTGATTGCCAGTTTTTCAAAGCTATATAAAACTTAGCTGCAGTTTATGATTCAAGCAACTTCATATGTAGAAATGCATTTTTCATTTGTGCAAGGAAATAATTTATCCGTGTAGTTTGTTTGTAAACACAGCAAAACACAGATTTCAGCAAAATTTAAAATCAATAACTTAAAATTATAATTTCCATTCAAAACTGGCAATATTATTAGTGCATTTTGAAACGATAAAGTTTTCAAAAAGTTGCATACTTAGTTCAATAAAGGTTCGAAATGAATATTTATTTGTCCATTAGCAGTTTTTGAATATATTATTGCAAATGCATATTCAATTTGATTTTACGGTCAAATTTGTGCATATTTATTCAGCACAAAACTTGGAAAAAAGATTCTATCTGTAATTTAGTGAGTCTAAATATTCCGTTGAATTATCAATAACTGAAGTAATTAACGTGATTTCTGCCCAAATAGAGCTGAATGTTTGTTTCCTGAAAATCTAGTAGCAAGCAACGTTTAAGACTATAACTCAATAACTTGAAATGAATCAGTTATTATTTAGTACAAGAATTATATTTCGGAAATGTTTGCAGGTTCCCGAGGTAACTTTTCTAGTCTGGCATAATTTTGCTTCCAATTTTAAGTAATAATTGCCTGAATGTACTGTGAGTAAACAGTGCGAAAAATGGCAATACTAACAAAATACTTTATCATATTTGTTTTTCACCATGAGTTTGCTTGCTCTTCCATCAATTACTTCATTTATTTGCATTAAAATACAAGGTAGATAGATAATGGTGAAGGTAGGTTTTTTTATCGACTTCTACAACTTTCTCAACAGTTGTCTGACCTTTGACCTCTATATGTAGAAAAATAGTTACTCAAGTGTCATTTGTTTGGGATCATGAGGCAAAATTTTTCTTCTGCTTGCTTACAACCAGTTTTTTTCCTTAAAATGTTCATAGACATTAATGTGCGAAAATTACCAAAAATCTTGTAGTCTGTATAAGCTGTAACTTTTCAAAGTTTCGCGAAGTTTCTCACACATATCCAAGAAGCAATTACGTTAAAAAAGTCTTACAAACTGTAAAAAGATTTTATTTGTCAACAGCGATTGTAAAGTTCAAATTATGTAAGCTTTTTTGGGTCAAAATAAGATTAATCATAATTGTGAACAAAAGGTTGCAACTAAACAATGCGATGTATGCAAATTTCTGATTAAAAATAATAAGAAATTCGATCAGTGCTTCAAGAGCAAACAAAGACTGAATACTTTATCATAGGTTGGTGTGAACAGGTGATCTCATCTCATCCCATCCCATCGAGTGCAAACAAGAGGGCACTCTATGACTCTGAATAATCGCCATTGTAACTGTACGTAACTCAAAATAACAGTACCAAACAATTGCACTCAGTCATTACTTCCACTAAATTTTCACCTGAAAAGAAATCAATTACATACTGATTGATTTATAAAAACTATTACTGATTTTTTGATCGATTTTGAGTGATTGCTGTGTGAAAGTTAATTGACTGTTAGCAGTAACTCATAAAACTATAATTCAAGAAATTTTTTTAGCTTGTGATAAGTTCGAAATTAAACTTACCAGTCTAGTTTTAGGGCTCGACTTACG